TGATGTTCGCTCAGACAATGGAGAGAGACTGCTCAGTCTTTGTGCTGATCATCAACTATCCCTCTCCAGCACCAGCTTTCGTCATCCTGGACGCCAGTACGCCACTTGGCGCCCCCCATCATCAACCCAGCACTGGTCACAGATTGACCACATAGCTATAAGTCGCAGGTGGCGCGGCAGTGTACGCGACTGCCGATCATTTTGGTCAACATGCGTCGACACCGATCATGCACTGGTGTGTGCGACCGTTTGCATGCGTTTTGGTGGTTCGCCTAGGTCAAAACACATCCGACTGAACGCCTACAAGTTGGAGGACCCAATGGTGAAGAGAGATTATCAACAAAAGCTTCGCGAAAAGCTCCCTCTCTCTCACACTCTGGATGTTGATCAACACTGGTCAAGTCTCCAGCAAGCCTTGTTGTCGGCCGGTTTGTCCAGCTGTGGCCTCACTCGCTCCACTCCCAAATGCTGGATCTCGGGAAGATCATCAGAATTGCTGGATCGTCGAAGGGCGGTGCCTGCTGGCGCAGAGTACAACGAACACCGCCGGTCTATTACGCAACAGCTGAAAGCAAGCCTTCGCTCTGATCGTGAATCTTGGTGGTCAAAACAAGCTGGTGAGATGGAAGCCGCTGCATCAGCTGGCAACTTCCGCCGTCTGTTTTACATCATCAGGGCCACTGGTTGCAATTTCCACGCTATCAGCCAGACGATTTGCGAGGCAGACGGCACGAAGATCACCAACCTTCGCAGACGATTGGGTCGCTGGTCAGAGCATTTCGCTCTCCAATTCAACCACCCAACACAGTCCCCTGCGACACATCCAGCCCCAATGTATGATGCTTGGCCTGTCTCCACAGCCCCCCCAAATGAAGCAGAGATTCGAAATGTAGTCCAATCTTTGAAACGCCACAAAGCTTCGGGTCCCGACCACCTACCACCAGCTCTATTCAAAGATGGTGGGAGTGTACTTATCAGCGAAATCCTATCGCTGTTCACGAAAGTTTGGACTGAGGAGAAGGTTCCGAGCTCATGGGGTGAATCCGTCATTGTCCCAATTCACAAGAAGGGTTCCCGCGACGATTGCTGCAACTACCGCGAAATCTCACTAATCTCTGTCGCATCCAAAATCTTCGTGTCGGTCCTACTTGGCAGGCTTTCAACGACTAGAGAGGAGTTTTCCCGAGAAGAACAAGCTGGATTTCGTCCAGGCCGTGGCTGCATCGACCAAATCTTCACGCTTCGGCAAGTTCTCGAACTTCGTCACATCCACCGGCGGCCAACAATCGTAGTGTTTTTGGACATCCGAGCGGCATTTGATTCAGTAGATAGGTCTGCGTTGTGGAACTGTTTACTGAAGAAAGGTGTGCCCGACAAGTTTGTAACCATCCTGAAAGTCCTTTACAGTCACACGTCGGGCAAAGTTAGGGCTTACGACACGCACTCCTCTTCATTCGCTGTGACCAGCGGTGTTCGCCAAGGTTGCCCTATTTCACCTTTCCTCTTCAATTTCGCCATCGAAGATGTTCTCCAAAGAGCACTGGAAGGTGTCCAGGACTGCGGTGTTGAGCTTCTCCCTGGAGACAGACTCACGGACTTGGACTATGCCGATGATATCGCCTTGCTGGGGGACGACCCACAATCCGTCCAGAACGCTCTGGACCGCTTGGCGATGGAGGGGTCTAAGTACGGCCTGTGCTTCACTCCGGGAAAATGTAAAACGCTGCTCCAGGATTGGTAGGTGCCTGAACCCGCGCTCACCATTGCTGGACATGTTCTGGAGCAAGTCCCTTGCTTCACTTACCTAGGGAGTTGCATCACGGCTGGTGGCGGTGTTGGAGATGAAGTCTCACAACGGATTGCAAAGGCCCGCCTTGCATTCATCAAACTGAGACATCTATGGCGTCGTCGTGATGTCAGTCTCAAGCTCAAGGACAGGGTGTACAATGCTTCCGTCCGTGCAGTACTCTTGTACGGCTGTGAGACTTGGCCTATTCGCTCGGAAGATATGAAGCGGCTATCAGTCTTTGATAATCGCTGTCTACGAAGGATTGCTAGGGTGTGGTGGCAACACCACGTAAGCAACGCAGAGGTGCGAGACCGCGTGCTTGGGGCGAATAGTGCCAGTCTTCAAGACGTTATTCTCCGACATCGCATGCGCTGGCTCGGGCATGTTCTGCACATGCCAGCCCATCGCCTTCCACGTCGAGCGCTATTTGCACTCCCAGGGAGCCATTGGAAAAAGTGTCGCGGTGGACAGCCGATGACGTGGAGAAGGAGTATGAAGAAGGCGACCTCAAGTTTGGCAGCAGTCGGACCAGTCCGGCTTCCAGGTTGGGGACCACAAGATGCTGAATTGCAGTGGTTGGAAACATTGGACGTCATGGCCCGCAACAGACATCAGTGGCAGCAATGTTGTTCCGCAATTTCACCATCCCTTTGATACACACAAAAACTCACAAAACAAAACAAAAAATACGAAATGGCGTGTGTAAAACCAAAAAAAATTCGTTTCCCATATTTTTTAATCGCATTAGTGTCCTCATCTTCTTCACCTTTTTCTTCTGCCATGGTTCTGATGGCACAATGTCTGTTAACAGACTGTGAATAAATATATATATATATATATATATATATATATATATATATATGAAATCTTGTCAAACCTGTCTAAGATGATCACTCAAGCGACCGACAAACATTGGCCCCCTTAGATAGGTGGTTCTGATGGACAGGTTCATGCATACGGGACAACTACCAAGTATCGAATGCGCTTGGTCTTTTCCATGCCAATTACTGACTGTCGCACAGTTTCTCACTTCAGAGAAATATACGTATTCACGATTGAGGGAACTCACTAACATTTCTCGTGACCATTGAATACCAACCCTTTGTAATCGATCGAATGCATATATTTGGCTTGGTTCTGGTGGTCACGGAAACAGAAAGGTAAATGCATGCGTCGGAAACTATTGTGCAGCTTACGAAATTCTCTGTCGCAGAGGGCAACCGTGATGTACCAGTCTGTTTATGGAAGGCAAGTCGAGCTGTGCCACTATTCGTCCTAGATTACTGGAAGCAACGGAGTTGTGATTGCTGCGTGTTGAAGCCATTTACGAACTGATTGTCTCGGGCCACTGCCATCTGCTTAGCCTCACTTACTAGTGGTGGATGCACTAAAAGTTGTCGTGCTTTACAACCTGTATTACCTAGGTTACGTTTTCCACATGGCTGCACTTCGCCTACTGACTGATAACTTCACGTCTGATTGGGTTTAGCAACAGAGCGAAAAGTTCCTGAGTTGGCTAAAAGGCATGAAGAAGTTGGCCGAGAATAGAATCAAGCTGCTGTCTTATTCCTTCTAGTAAGACTGCGTTAAATTCGACCATATTTGTGGATGAAGTTCGTGAGACGGATTGTGCATCCAACGTCTGCGCTTTTCCACGCATAGTTTCTGTCGTTGTCTGAATTTATGTCAATAACGTTTCCGTTCCATTCCTCTCTTGCCTTTTGTTGCAACGGTTAATTCTATTTATCATGGTAACTGGAGTGAAGCCAACCGAATGTAGAGCAATGCGATGAAATTTAGTCAAGTGAACCTAAGGAACTAGACCGGAAGTGGTTACTAAGCTACCAATGGGGGATCCGGATCACGACATGCTGACGGAGAATGTTAATGGTAGACAAAGGGTACAACAAGAGTAGCTGGGCCGGCATGACATGTACATCCATTGTTCGGTACGTCATAGAAGCTGCGAGTGCAAGCAAAACACCAGTACAGTGTATTTTTGTTCGTCGCAATCAGCCGACAATTCAGATATGTCGACCAGCTATCCGGAAAAGCACCAGACGGCCGTTTCGCCCTATTGGGGCTCATCAGTGGTGCGCATCCTTCGGTCCTCTGCGGAGGATCGAACCCATGACTACTAGTGGTTCTTGTCAACTAGCCCGCAGCTTATGCAACTGCGTCATGGAGGACGGTATCTGACTATCGTGAATTGTTAGCTAAATGCGATATAGCCCGACGCATCCTCCACTGCCATGCAGGTACCTGCCATGCAGATGACAGCGGTCGGCCTTCCGGCGTCAGGACTTCCCGGTTACGGCAGCTATGAATCGACACAGCATTTTGTGGAATCTGTACGGGCGAATTGGTATTACTTATGAATGGAAGGATTTTGGTGAGTATTTTTGTTCGTCGCAATCAGCCGACAATTCAGATATGTCGACCAGCTATCCGGAAAAGCACCAGACGGCCGTTTCGCCCTATTGGGGCTCATCAGTGGTGCCGGAAGGCCGACCGCTGTCATCTGCATGGCAGGTGCCTGCATGGCAGTGGAGGATGCGTCGGGCTATATCGCATTTAGCTAACAATTCACGATAGTCAGATACCGTCCTCCATGGCGCAGTTGCATAAGCTGCGGGCTAGTTGGCAAGAGCCACTAGCAGTCATGGGTTCGATCCTCCGCAGAGGACCGAAGGATGCGCACCACTGATGAGCCCCAATAGGGAGAAACGGCCGTCTGGTGCTTTTCCGGATAGCTGGTCGACATATCTGAATTGTCGGCTGATTGCGACGAACAAAATATACTCACCAAAATCCTTGCATTCATAAGTAATACCAGTACAGTGTGCCGCTACTGCATTCAGCCTTGTGCTGGTCGCCACGCAGACGGATTGCAACAATAAGCATTTGAATACGCTGATGATTGTGGCATGATGAGGTATCGAAGGTGGCAAGACTAGGAGTCCGGCAGGCGTGCTATAGAAATGGACAAACCCCAGCGGTTTTTCGAAGAAATAAAAAAATAAAACATGCAAATGCGGAGGCCGAATCTACTAAGGTTCTGGACAATTTTGATGTCAGACAAAAATGATGACATTCATGCGCCGGTAAAAATAACGGGACCAATCAGCTTTAACCCGAGTAGGATACTAAGCGCATCAACGACGAAATGAAAGTATATAATGGTCGCTGAAGAATACGAAAGATTAGGTACCCGTGTTACTTTGTATCTCAGACTGGCCCACAGGTTCCGTAAAGTGGGTTTTTTGAGACTCAGGCAGCGACTGACCGAGACTGTGGATGAACCACTTGTGATGGTTTGCCAACGGCTCCGGGCTGTGGGGCAGGAAGAAATAGCAGAGGGAAAATAACAGGCGGTCCAAATAGGACATCGGATCCCGCCGTAAGGTGCGTGGGTAAAATCCGCCGGTCAAAGTCCCCGAAGTTCCACCGCGCGATTCTGGTATGAGGTTGCGTAACCAAAAGCAGTAGATGTGAGCACAATGCTTGATGATATCCTGATGCTCAATGGGCACAGTCAGACCGTAAGTGATTATCTACGGGGGAGTAAATATTGAGAAGCTCAATGTCAAGATCCAGTACAGGGAAACGAAGAATGCATATAGGAATTTTGAATGTAGCTTGTGGAAGAGAAGGTACGGAACAGGAATTATCAAATTAGATAACATATTTACTGGTACTTGCAAAGACACTACACTACTTATAGAAGGGAGGTCAACCACCACAGATGCTAAGGGACCGATAAGGGTACCGTAAAAAGGTTAAAACGTTGTGCGGCAAACGGCATTGCAGCTAAAGTAAGCAACGGTAATAACCAACGAAGAGAAACTGTCAACTGAATTGGTTGAGGATCATGAAGCGTTCGTCCCTCGCCTGAATTGACGCTTGATTCCCAATCAAAACCCGAAGTCGCTGGCCCCCCACAGGACAGAGAGAAGACCGGATCGGAGGAGCAGAGCAACAGGGATGTATTAGCGAATCACATCGTTCATTATAAGGGTGAAATGGAAACTTCGTGAATGGTATTTAAAGCGCACGTGGAAAGCTCTGGAAAGGTCAACTAGCAGCAAATCAAGGAACGCCGCCCTCGCGTTAGGTGGCCGCTTCTCCCGGTTGGCTCTCTGTTCGTCCCAAGTAGGGCTGGTGAGTTTGGATCGCCCGCTGCGGCGATGGGGTTCTGGCTTGTTCGCATCGCGTATTCCTTCCTAACACTTCCCCCCTTTGAGTTGTGTTGTACGATTTCAGCTTGGGGTTGCATTGAATGGGTGACACGATTTGCGTCGCCGCTTCGGCCTTTGTGCTGCTAGGTTTCGGGGCAAATGTTGTGGTTGCTGTGTTGGGGCATGTTGGGGAGTCTTCGCTTCACCCGCGTCGGGCAGTATGTCCAGAGGTAACTGCGTTGCTGGTACTTGTTGTTGCAGTTGTTCGCCAATCCCTGCCTCTAGCACCTGATTGGCATGCCTTACCCAAACTGCCGTCCCAACCTGAATACCGTAGATCACGTTACCACGTTTGTATAGCACACGGCCCATAGCCCATTTCGGATAGTGGATGCGATAATCTCTCACCAAAACTTATTGGCCAACATTAAAGACTCGCTTCCAGCACCGTGTCGGATGTTGAATTGACGGTCCATCTGATAGTTGCGGGAGAATAACTGATCCTTCCTGGGTATGAGGGCAACATGCGGCACACGGATTTTCCTTTGAAACAAAGTTTCAGCCGGAGACAGTGCGTTCGGTGTCTGCGGATTCGGAGTTGTGCGATACGTCATAAGAAATGTGTCAAGAATCTTCTCCAAGGTACCTTCCCCCTTCATTTTCAGCAAAGCTCTTTTGAGTGTATCCACAAAGCGTCCCGCTTGCCCGTCCGATTGTGGGTGGAAAGGTGGAGACCTTACATGGACGATTGCATTTCTGCGACAGAAGACAACAAACTCAGAGGACGTGAATGTGTACCATTGCCCGAAACCAACGTGTGGGGAACATTGAAATGAGAAAATACCTGTCGGAGAGCAGAGACAGTGGCTGCTGCGGTAGTTCCCACCATTAGAATCACCTCTGGCCATTTACTGTGGGCATCGACAACGATGCGAAAATGATGATTGTCAATTCGACCCGCAAAGTCGACGTGTATCCTTGACCATGGTTCCGTTGATATTGGCCAGCACTGCAATCGCGTCTTCCCTGGCTGTTTAGATACATTGGCACATCGGGGACAATTCGTCGTTAAATTCTCGATCTGGGAATCCATGTAGGGCCAATACACACAGCTTCGTACCAGTGATTTCATGCGATTCATCCCTGGCTGGCCAGTATGAAATTGTCGGAGGACTCTCTCTTGAAGGATGAGAGGGATGACGACGCAATCTGAGAACAGCAGACAATTGCTGACGACTGATAGTGCATCCTTTCGTTGGTGGAATTGTTGAAGCTCCGGCGTTGTAACTCTCTTACGCCAGCCATTGAGGTGGAATCGATCACTTTTTGTGGGGTAGAATCATGATGGGTCGCTTTCTGCACCATTTCGAACGTTATTGGTAAGGCATCGAAAATGTCAGATACAACTTGATGTATTTAGGGTTCTACGGAGATTTGAGCAACTACCAAATCCTCTGGTTCTTGATGCTGTGTACCAATTAAATGAGATAACGCATCCGCTTGACCAACGTTGCGCGTAGATTGATATTTGAGGACGAAATCGTATCCAAGTAGAACCGTTTCCCAGCGTTGGAAACGACTGGCCGTGCAGACTGGAATGCCTTTCTTTGATCCAAAGATTGCTACCAAGGGTTTGTGGTCAGTGAAAAGCGTGAATTTTCGTCCATAGAGCATTTTGTGAAATCGCTTGATTGTAAACACTATAGCCAAAGCTTCTTTCTCGATCTGCCCATAGTTGCGTTCCGCTGGGGTGAGTGATCGGGCTGCACGTGCCACAGCTTTCTCCGAACCCACCAAAATTTGCGATCCTTTACCAGAAGTTCATTGAGCGGTCCTCGTAGCCGATCCATTTCGAGCACAAAAGAGCTGTAATGACTGATCACCCCAAGAATGATCAGAGCTTCGCGACAGAGTCAGGGTGAGGCATGTGTTTTATGGTACTTATGCTGGAAGGATTCGGACGACGGCCATCCTTGTCGATGATGAAGCCAAGATACTGTACACACTTCATGCTGGTATTGCAGTTTTCTGTGTTCAAGTGGAAACCGTAGTGGTTAACGCGGTGGAGAACTGCTTCCAGTCTTTCCGTCAGCTCTCGAAAGGTAGACCCTTTGATTATGATGTTGTCCAAGTAAGCTGCGAGTCCTGATAACCCAGCTAACATCGTATCCATAATTTGTTGAAAACCGCGGGAGCTGATTTGACACCAAACGGTAAACGGTTGAACTGGTAAAGACCTCGGTGCGTATTGATTGCCAGCAACACCTTTGAAGCATCGTCAACTTCAATTTGAAGATAAGCATCTGATAAATCTAGCTTTGTAAAATAAGCGCCACCACTGAGCTTAGCAAATAAAAGTTATGGAACTGGCAAAGGATACTGGTGCATTTTCAAAGCAGCATTCAATCCCGTAGAGTAGTCAACACAGATACGAACGGTTCCATTGGTCTTCTTGACGACAACAATAGGTGCTACACACGCTGAATAGTTCACAGGTTGGATGACGCCGGCACGCTCCAAACGATCAAGTTCACATCAACAATGGGAAGCGCAGCGTATGGTACCGGTTTTTGGGTTGGAACACGGGTTTGGCACCATCTTTGAGAGTAAGGCTTGCTTTGGTCTTTGTGCATCTTCCCAAGTCGTTGCGAAACACAGACGGAAATGTCCTTCTTAGCTGCTCGATCAGATTTTTGTTTGGTTCGCCACCATCCGAAGAGGGCCTCGTATATCCGAGCCGGAGGGTAATGCACACTTGACTAAGAGGAATGTCGACCAGGTGGAGCTTCTGGATCCAGTCGAGTTCAAGCAGATTCAAATGTGACAGCCCCGTAATGTACACAACACCGTTTGCCCGAACAGCGCCAGAAACCATTTCATACTGCAGCTCATCAATGAGATTAAGTTGACCTCCTGAAGCGTTAAGTGCAACACGTGTCGTTCGGCTGATTGACGGAGCACCAATATACTGCCAAGTTTTGCTGGAGATAATTGTGACGTCCGAGGCTGTATCTACCTGAAGGTGCACTTGTTGCCCGATCAGGTGAACTCTGATGTACTTTTGCGAGCCACATGTTTATCAGAGTAGGCCGCTTGAACTGTACTATAGTTGATGAATCTTTTGGGAACATCTGAATTCGGTCGCGTGTGTCTAGCACGCTTGAACTGTAGTCTGCATCGGCAGTGCGTTTCCTTATGGCTCCGTTTATGACACTTGTGGTAAACATGTTTCAGGAATGGACACACTCGAACAAAAGTCCACTCACCACATCGCCAACAGGCAGTCGGGGCTTGGGATTCTCTGGGCTTTTCATGGCCTGTTTCACTTGGAAGTGGTTTCTTCAAGGTGGTTTTTAATACACTAAGACTTGGAGTTGATTGTTGCTTCTCCAGCATAAGCGTGTCATGCTTGAGGTTCAGCAATCGTTGGCATTCAGTAGTTGTGGTCTGTAGTCATGTGCTGGTCTTGTTCAAGTTTACTCAGCAGCCTGGTGTGAATCTCGGCATCCCGTGAGGAATGTAAGCTACAGATAAAAAATCAGGCATTTGAACTGATCTGCCGTGATGGATTTGATGTCGAATTTCTCGTACTCCCGATTGAGGATTGGAGCGTAAGTGACGTAGTCATCAGCGTCCATCTCGGTGATCTTCAGGCAATGATATCGCCTGCTGAAGATGAATGACTGCTCTCCAAAAATTTGGTCAAAGCATTTGACAGTCTTCTCAAAAGTGCAGTCTCGAGGGTTCTTAGGCAAAAAAGTTGACATACTTGGATTGCTCTGCTGTTCCAAGTTTCCTTAACAGAAATCGGACCTTCCAATCGTCATCATGGTCTCCAAGTTCAACGCGGAACACATCCTCATAACGCTTGAACCAAGATTCAAAGATGAGGCCAACATCAGGGTCGTACGAAAATTCGGTATTGCTGTTAGTGATGGCATCTACCGATGCGGACGGCTTGACAGTTGTAGACAGTGAATCGGTCTGAATTGAGAGCTGGCGCGTAAAAGTTTCGATCAGCCTGAGTTGGGATGCCTCAAATTGTGCGTGTTACTGCAGCAGAATGGCCTTGAGCTCGACAGCCGATATGGACATCTTGATTAGGGTTCAACCCGTCGCCAGCTGAAGTGTTCGTCCCTCGCCTGAATTGACGCTTGATTCCCAATCAAAACCCGAAGTCGCTGGCCCCCCACAGGACAGAGAGAAGACCGGATCGGAGGAGCAGAGCAACAGGGATGTATTAGCGAATCACATCGTTCATTATAAGGGTGAAATGGAAACTTCGTGAATGGTATTTAAAGCGCACGTGGAAAGCTCTGGAAAGGTCAACTAGCAGCAAATCAAGGAACGCCGCCCTCGCGTTAAGTGGCCGCTTC